TTAACACTTCAAATATTGCTATTATACATTAGATTGAGCATTTCAGCAGATAAATTGTACAACTAAATCTGATGTGTAATACGCGCTTTAGATGTTCGAAAAACTTTTTCTATTATAATTAATCGAATGTTAATGTTCTTATTTAGTAACTTACAATTTATGTTGACTTTTCAAAAGTTCAAAAATTTCTGGTAAAATTAATAAACATAAATCCAAATTCCATGATGACCTATGGTATTAAAAAATATTTATTATTATCAAACTCTCAGTTTTGATTTCAAACTTACGTTTTTTCAAGTATTGCTCCTAAAAGATCTACAAACACAGTCCGTCCATTCATTTGGATTGCTTGTCGAAGTGCCCCAATCACATCATGAGATCTGGTAGTAAAACAAATAAACAAATCAAAAATTAGAATATAATAATTTATGATATTAGAATATATTGTTGCGAAGATACAATTCGATTTAAGTTAACTGAGATAATTTTGAATTATGTCAGTTAGTTAGTAAATAAGTTTTTTAAATATGGTTGGAATTTTTAGGAGAATACAGTGGTTGGTTATTTTAAGCAATCAAGTTGTGTGTGTTTCAGAAGATAAATAACGGTTATAATTAATACAAGTTTAATATTATTCACTTATCAGGATCCAGTGTTATCGAACGAAGCGTTAGAATAAACGTAACATTGGTGTCAGAAGTGGGATCCTGATAAATAAAATGGTTAAGCTTGAACAGTTAACCGTAGTGCAATTAAAGCGGCAACTGGAGAAGCTGGGGCTTAGCACAGGTGGTGTTAAGACGGAGTTGCAAGTAAGGCTGCGTGAGGCTTTAGAGGCGAGCGGTATAAATGCGGAAGTGGAAGAATTCCCTGAAGAGATAATTGTAGCGGGAGAAGTTAAACAGGTGGGTAATAGTGAAATGATGGAGCTTATGATGAAGATGATGCAGCAGATGAAGGAACATGCAGAGCAGACTTCCACTGAGCTTAAGAAAAACGCAGAGCAGATTTTCTGTGAATTCAAAGATTTAAAACAAGAGTTGTGGCAACTTGTCGGGATAACAGCAGAGGCGCAAGAAAAGTTGTCGAAAAGGGTTGATGAAACAAACCAGAATATTCAAGTCTTTAATGAGGTGTACCAGTTAGAAAATCGATTGGATGATTTGTCGTCGAATCGTCATTCGTTAGCGAGTGTTCGCCGGACTGGGGAAGTAAAATTAAAACCACCGGTGTTTGGTGGAACCGCGATATTTGAAGTTTTCCAGTTACAGTTCGAGACTACTGCTGTTGCAAATCGTTGGGGTGAAGATGAGAAAACGACAGCGCTGATTGTGGCATTAAAGGGCAGCGCGGCAGAGGTGCTACAACAGATTCCTGATAAGGCACGTAGGAATTACCATGAGTTAATTGGCTTATTAAATCGTAGGTATGGCAGCAATTTTATGTCACCCCTACGCAGAGTAGAACTGAAGGCAAGAGTAGAACGGGTTGGCGAGAGTCTTCAGGAATATTCCGCGGATATCGAACGTTTATGCAATTTAGCGTATATTGGCAGTTCTAGTGACTTCATTAAAAAAAATAAAATTGATGTTTTTATTGATGGCATACGTGATCCAGAAACCAGACGGCAGGTGGTAATGTTTCCAAAGCTAACTTACGCTGAAACAGTTGGCAGGGCGTTAACGTACGAGGCTGCCGGTATAATGTGTTGCTTTACAGCAAAAGTACGGAAAATGGAAACTGGAGTGGCAGGAAGAAAGACAAGAAGGAAAGCAAAAGAAAAGACAGAAATGAAGGCAGGAAGAAAGACAAAAAAGAAGACAAGAAAGGAGGTAAAAAGAAATAGAGAAAAGAGAAGAAAAGAAAGAAGGATAAAAGAGAAAACAAGAAATAAGATAAGAGGGAGAAGAAGACTGATTCAAATAATGAATAGGGAAAAAAGAAACAGAAAAAAGAGAAGAAAGAAAAGGAGGAAAGACTATTTCGGTTTATATAGTTATGATTTTGTGTTAATCGGCTTTGGTATAGCTGAATCAGTTGAAATTAACATCTGCTTGGACGACCCAGAATCCCCATATGTTATATATGTTGAGGGTATTCCATTTGAAGTAGATTTTATGATTGCCCATGGAATTACGTTGGACTTAGGACAACGTATCCTACGGAGCGCGGTAATGGAATGTCCATTGAATACTGGCAGTGAGCATTGCGATAGGATGAGACAGGTTCGATTGAATCGACGACGACGAATACCGGCAAATTCAGAAGCGATTGTATGGGGAACACTAGACGCGAATAAAAGGACGAACAGATGCTGGATTGTAGAAGCCATGGAAAATGTCGGAGTCGATAATATCGTACTTGCACGAACTTTGGTGCATCCGTTCAGGATTAATCAGGAAATCAAATATGATGCGGAGACCGCAGAGGACTTGTTGGTCGCGAATAAGTTGTCTTATAAAGATATACCGTTAAACGTTGATGCCAACCTCACAGATGATAAGAACGTGACAATTGATGTAAATGTCTTGTTTCATGAGGATACCACAGATGACGTATTGGCTACGGGTAGTGAATTTAATGCTGATGTCAGAGATGTCTTGTTCGTTTCGGACATAACAAATAATGAGAATAAGATGAAAGTAGTTCATTTGGAACGGTTGGCGCGTTGTGATGAAGATATAGTGACACTTGTTCGGGACGAACAAGTTTAGGTGGAGGGCAATGTTGCGAAGATACAATTCGATTTAAGTTAACTGAGATAATTTTGAATTATGTCAGTTAGTTAGTAAATAAGTTTTTAAATGTTGGTTAATTTTAAGGAATAAAGTTGTGTGTTTTTCAGAATATAAATAACGGTTATAATTAATACAAGTTTAACATTATTCACTTATCAGGATCCAGTGTTATCGAACGAAGCGTTAGAATAAACGTAACAATATTATAATATAATAACAATATTTATAGATGTAAAGAATATCATAATAAATTTTTATAATTAATTAAAAAAAAATACTACTACAGAACACACTGCTGAAAAAGTATAAACTTCGTAATTGTAGAAATCTGTGGAGCTCTAATGACAAAAAACAAAAGAAATTACAATCACAAATACATGAGTTAGGACATAACTAGATGTGGCGAGAATACGCTAGAAAAATTATTTTTTTAAAGGGTGACTCTACTGAAACTAACATGAGTAAAAAAGAAGGAATCTACACCTGTTGACAAACATAATAATATTGTCTGTTGTCTCATTTCCGGTCTTCGCAGGACATGAACAGATAAGATAGGTCGACTTTTCACTCTATATCTATTTGTGTCTTTAAAATTTGGGAGTTACCAAGAGAATGTCCAGATAAGAAATCAGTGATTAATCTTTAAAATTTGATAGTTAACAAGAAAATGTTCAGTTAAGAAATCAGTAATTAATCTTAGGTTAGATCTATTTAGACGGAAAAACTTATCTTCTTTATTTTAGGTTTAGAATAGATTATTTGTATTATAACTACAAAGGAATCTGAACGATTCATTTTTATTTCTAATAAGGGCAGTCATTATCTGACCAGAACAGAACAACTATTGTTCTATTTACATTCTATTGTAAATGTTCACTGGAAATATGTTGCAAAATTCCAGTCATTCACTAATAAATTTAAATACATAAATAAATAAATTAATTTAAATACATATGTTAAAAATGCTAACCATTTCTCTTCTATTATACATTTTGTTTTCTATTATTTAAATTAATCAATTTTTAATATTTACAAATATTTATATTTTCGGTATTTCTTTACATTAATATATTGTATCGCTTTTTGAAAAGTATAAAAATATATTGTATGAAATTAGTATAAATTATTTTATTATAATATGATTAGACTCACCTGGTCGAGTTTCTTATTAATTGTAAGGTCGCATGCCGATTACTTAATTCTTGATAAACCTGTTCATGTGAGGTTGATAACATATGTATTTCGGAACTATCATCAATTCCATTACGATTATTTAAACTTTTCTGATTAACTCCAGACTGAGTTAAAAGCGAAGGATCTGGACGATAACTTATAGGAATCTGGAAAAAAACATTATAAAATATTTTTTGACAAAATTTTTACATAGATAGATTGTGTCAAACAAAAAATATTCATTTCAACAACATTTAGAAACTATAATACAAACATTTGTTGTGTTGTTGGTATCCGATGTATAACTGGAAATTCTCTGAAAGCAAAGAATATTTTTTAACTTTTATATTCAATTGCTTGTTAGTCATTGTGTTAAAACTTTAAGCTTGAATTCGTAAATAATAGAGTGCGGAGTAAAATTCGATAAAACTGCGTGTTTCTAACTCTTAATTCGGAATTACTAATAGCAGTGCAAGCTAAGTAAATAAACTAATTGAGGAATTAATGATATTTTACTTAAAAATGTATGCGTTGTGCTAATAATACATGTAAATTACTTCAACATGATATTACTAGAATATCTTTTTATACATATAAATTCAAATATTGCAGTACATTCATTGATAGTTAATCAGATTAAAACTATTAAGCACTTAAGTTACGTTATTAAGGTTAATTTAAATACTTTTTCTACATGATGTAATGAAAACTATTTGAAGTATAACAGATATGCTAAATTGTCAACTATACATTTAGATTTATATGTCTGAAAACATTTTCTATATAAAATGTAATACATTTCTGCAATATATTAAATAATCATTTCTTTCTTAACAAAAAAAAGAAACTAACATAATTATTTAGTTAAGGGCTTATTCCTAGAAAATTAGTTGCATTAATATCAATAATTATAATGTTCAATCATTTTTAAATATAATATAATTTTTTTTCAAATTTCATATACCCAAAAATAAAACGGAATATTATTACCAATATATACACCAATAATAACTATGAAAATATAAAATATAATATATATGTGGTATTTTGTTGTTGTATAAAATAAATTCAGGATGTAGTTCCTTAATCTAAAATATTATAAAACTTATATTGAGAAAGGATTTATTTTCAATTTTTTTTTTGAATTTTTCATATGTAAATAGTTTCCAAGCAATTTACGTGTTTATTAGTATTCGATGGTCACCTTATTATTAACCGGCTTATTTTCTTAAACATATAAAAACATACCTAAAAAATTATGAAGCAAAAATTATGAAGCAAAAATTATAACGAAGACTTTACTTTAAGATTTATTTCTAAATACCACTAATGATAGGTATTTCTAAATAGATACTCTAAATGGCTTTAGGCATAGCCGTAGACAGATGTTTCTGTTTTTCTATTCAAAATAAATTTCTTACTACAGAGCATAAAAAATTAAATTAATATCAAAAAACTATATAATATATAAAAAATATAAATTATATAAAAAAAATTAAAAGACGCATATATATAAAAATATAAAATAGTGTAACATATAATGTTGCCATTAAATAAAAATTAAAATCTTTAAAAAAATTTGTTAAATTTTCGTCACTTTTTGTATTTACATAATAAAAGCTAAATATTTGCAATTATATATTATGGGAAAAATGTGGAAAAATAACGAAATTAATAGTGGCAACAATTATTAAAACATATTTTAAATTTATCTAACATACTTTTTTTGTTAATGAAATATGAAATAAGGCTCTTTCGATGACAAAAATTTAAGTTAAAAATTAAATACATATTAAAATAGTTTAACGCATTCAATACAAATATACGGGAAATATTTATGTACGTGCACAATGTAAACATAAGGCCATGCTCCAGATATTTTGGAAGTGAACTTACATGTGATTGCTTGTGTGCCGCTGCAGATTCTGGTGAACGTAAATCGAAAGATGTTCGTGATCTAGTTGGTGGTTTTGTTAAAATTTGAACGGTTATATTTTTATTTCGTGCATTTTCTTTATTTATTTGCGATTGTGCATCAGTGTTGCGTCTGCCCTTGGCAACCATATGTGAGGATGCCGACTTTTTAATTAATAAATTGTCGTCCAATTTATGTAAATCTGTAGTACTTACTGAAGACACTTGAGAAAATTTATTCCGATTATGAAATGATGATGTAGCAGATTTTGATCCAGAAATGGCATTTTGTGTATTTCGTTTTTGTATATGTGAGATCTGTTTAGTTTTAGTAGTTTTTGATGTTTGTTGCGATGATACATTTGTTGAACTGACTACATTCTGCTGCTGATGCACGTTTTGATTAACGGGAAAATCTTCAGCCATTTCATTATGATCGTAATTAGAAATAATAGGTGTATTACTATCATTTAAATTATATTCTACGCCATTCCCAAACGTTTCAAATATCCGATCAACTGGATACATTCCATGTTCTCCAGGCACTTTCAATGAGCTAGGACCATCGAAATGTAAGCTGTTATAACCATTGCTTCCAATCATGTTATAATCAGTGCTGGATGGTATAGAAGGAAAATTGTATGGCAGAGGAACACTTTTCGAAGGTGCAAAATTTGTAACTATATTATAAGCGTTATTTAAATTTGTTTTGACACTCAAAGTGCCATTGCCATTGCCATTGCCGTTGCCATAACCATTTAAGGGATGCGTTGAAGATGAAGGTATTGGAGGAGGCATTGTTATAACTAAATTTGTATCGTCAACCAACTCAAGACTTAAATTTGGGGACGATTGTTCATCAAGACTAGGACTTTTATTATCCTCATTTTCTTCCAATACTCGGGACGGTTTTGGACCACCTATTGATAAGCGTAGTTTCTGATTACCACGAGAAAAGCTTCTGCGCACACTGGAATTAGAGTTAAATGTACTCGGTATATTGGAGGGATTATAGAATGGAAATACTCTATCAATACTTAAAGCATTAATAGAAACTGTATCGCTTTCGTAGGTACCACATATCTGAAAGTAACATATTATATATTAATATTTTTAAAATTTCGCAAATCATTTTAGCATGTTTTCAAAAACTTACCAATTTACGCTTAACTACTTTAATATCTCCAATCTCAGTCCAAGTAGATTTAATATAGTCAAATTCTCGATCAGGTTCCCAACCAATCACAGATATTCCGGCAGCTGTGCCAACAAAAAGACACTCGCCATTTTCACTTCACAAAATAAAACAATGTAATTATAATCGTATAAATTATTTAATCGTATGAAAAATATCTTACCTAAATGTAATACATTTTACTGGATTACCATAAAATTGACTTGAGGCGTTTGTACTTAATATGCGTTCGTTATTTTCTAAATCGTAAATGTTAACTGTACCATCAACACGACCCACTGCTAAAAGGAACTCTGATGGATGGAATTGTATACAAGTTATACCAGCAGCTGGTGGTTGCTCCGTAAAATCTTTGATTTGTTTACTTTTGCGAATATCCCATATAATAACAGATCCTTCCGTCCCAGCGGACGCTATCCACAACCCATCTGGAGAGAATTTCACTGAGTTAACATACGCAATATGGCCTCTATATATCTTAATGCATTTATTTTGATTTCTCACATCCCAAAGTCTGAAATTATATTGCAAAAAAATTCATTTTACTTTTATATCTTGTAAATTTCTAGAATCTTATGTGTTAGTTTTTAATTATAGACTAATAGTCAGTGAAATTTTTATATATATATATTTAAATATTTCTCTTTTGTGAAAGAAGTACCTCGCTATTTTCGAGTAATTATAAATACGATATGACTGATAAGTTTCATATTCTAAATTTATTTCCCATAATTTGTTTCCTATTGTATTAAAAACCTCAAAAAACTTGCAAGTAATATTTTTTAAATTGTAATAGGAATATAAAATAATTCAAATTATTCTCAATCCATTATTTTTTTATTTTTTTCAGAACTACGTTTCTAGATGATATTCTGTTTCCTTTCAAGTAGATCAGCGCTTTCCAGATCAGATAAGATAGCTGGCCAACTCTGAATAGGTTGGTGGGCCGCAGAAATATTAGTTGACACTAATTGACACAAATAAGCAAACCTTCGGACTACTTCAAATTACAGTACCATATGAAGTTACGTTAGAAATGATTTTATATATATTTTTTTCACCTCTGCTATGAACGAAAAAACTACAGCGGTAATTTATTAAAAAAAAATTTCGAAAATGTGTTTAAAACATAGAAATAGAAATGTTTGTTATATAGAAATAGACATATATTTCTATGTTTTTGGTTTGCACTATGCAAACACTTTTGAATTGGTTTCTCGTTTTCTTTTGGACTGAGTGACTGCTAAACGGAATGCTAAAGCTATTAAGTCGAAAACATTTCTATGTTTTCGGTTAAGTGCTCTAAAAATATATGTTACGAACAGAATTTGGAACTGTAGGTGTCGGTACTGTTGTAGCTGCTGTTGAAAAGTAGTCAACTTTTCTACAAGTTTGACATTTCATATTCTACGTTAACGTCATACGAGCAACGCTTAAGAATAAGTTTGAATGATATACACATTTTTACCGAAATATATATTATATAAATAAATATATTTTATAAATAAATCAAAATAAAAATAAAAGGCATTGAATGTGGTAAAAAATATAAACTAATAGCAGGTTTTTTAAAGAAACCATCTTTCTGTTTTATATACTTTATTTCTATTTTAAAAAAATAGCGATAAATAAATAAAACGAGAATATATCGTTTCTTATGCAAATGTAAATTTGTAAACAAAATTTAATTAAAAAAATCTAAATATTTAATAAATTCTACATTAATTATATCATTTTAAATTAACATAAAATGTTTAATAACCGTTTAATGTTTAATAGGCTAACCCAGTAATTAATCTTTCTTCATACATTGGATGCACCCACTATTTCCCCCTTTGAATAGTTTTTATAACAAAGAGATAATACATTTCTTCAACATGAGTTTTTTATTATTTTTGCTTATATAATATTATTATATTTATTTTAAAATTAATTTTTTCATTTTACCAAGGACCATAATAAATTTTGTAAACAAATAGCGCAATGATATTCACGGACTCTTAGCCCTGCGTCATTATGTTCGTACTACTATCAGTAACTCAATCAGTAGCTGCAGTGCAATGAATTTTTTATCGCCAAAAACGAACTAGAATTTTTCCACAAAATCAAGAATTGTTTGCAAATAAATAAATGAAAATTTATGTAACTCTCACTAAACATATACCCTCAAGGTTGCCTAAGGACTACACTAGAAACCGAATTTAAAATGAGAGAACAAAAATTCAATTATTTAATTAAAATTTGATAATGTAGCTCATGAGTTATATTCTATTCACATGGTACAAGTAATCTTAATTTTGCACAATCGGCTTCATTTATTATAAAATCAAGTTTGAATTGCAATGCGTGTCCGTACAAAAATCCAACAACCAAACCCAGTTAAAATTTATTTCGTTATTCACAATAGACGTTTGCGGTGGCTCAAAGGGTGGCAAAAAAAAACACCAAGTTGGCCTATACTAGATGAAATGTACCCAAAACAACAACACTATTTTCTCTATTTGGCTAGTAAACTATTTGGCCAGTAAAGATAAAAGTGTTACCAATGCAATAAGCGAACTATTTTGAACCTTCATTGGGAAAAAAGAAAAAATTTCAGCGTTTTATTTTAAAATTTCCAACATTTTTATCATTCCTTTTAATTCTGTATTCATTTTAATTTTCAATTTTATATTAATTATTTTTTTTTATGCAAAATGTAATTTTCTTGCACTATGTGCACACATGCAAGATTTGCTATTTGCCAAAACATAACACCTGACAGATTGCAACAGTGATGCCAATGTCTCACTTAGCGTAGGCCAGCATGCGTGTTTTGTCACACTAGCGAGCCACCGAAAACGCCTAACATGATAATTGTGCAGCTATGTTATGAGTAATTCTTAACAACTTACGCAAATCAGACCAAATAATTGCTGGAAACATTGGTATTTTGATTTATGAGTACCGTTACAAAATCAAAAATTAAAAGATTTTTATTTTTTAGAACAATAAACCGAACAAGCAAAATCACAATCAAAATTGAATAAACTTATTTCGTATGAAAACGTATAATTTTATGACAGCTTTAAGCGAATGCTAACATTTTGATTCTGGCCAAATTTATCCAGCAATGTAGAAAGCACTGTCATCGAAAGCAGTGGCATCGAACCACAAAATTATAAAAATATAAATTAAAAAGTAAGCAATAAAATTATTACTGAAATTTTCAATGATTCATTCGCTATTTTATAGTAATATTTAGGTTTTCTAAATGTATATGTAAGACAATCATAGCAGAAATAATCTCATACGTCACGATTTTTGGAAAATCAAGATTTGATTTGGCGTAATCCGGTTATTTCAAAAATAGACAAATTATACGATGTGAAAATAAGCGAAAATAGTTCTAGCATTTAGCGAATATTTGCTACTAGTTAACACCTACTAGTTACCATAAAAAAACTCAACAAAAGTAGTATACAGCTGTAAAAGAAAAATTCATTTAATAATTGCAATTGTTCAAGTTTTGTATTAGGGGTATTCAGGCAACTGATTAGTTGCTTAGTAGTTGATTACAACAAAAATTTGCATACAAAAAAGAAACTAAGCAGAGAATCTACTATTTCGGAGATTCTCAGATTAGTGAAAATTTGATTAATAATGATGCCAGTACGAAGTGTCGGCGCTATGAGCATAGGATGTCTGAAAAAGAAAATGCAAAAATAATAACATAAGTTAAAAAATAAAATTCAATAAAACTATAATTTGTAATTTATTCTACTTCTTGATATATGACACGTTTGTAATTTTAGTTATATGTTATGATAAATTTAAATGATATTAAAATTTACGAATATTTGAGTATTTCACTGTTAACATATGTTTCGCTGTTGCTGTACGAGTGCTGCCAAGGCATTTGCACACAACAAACTAATCAGAGTACGTATTTTGGGCCGTTCAAGCAACTGATTAACATCGAAATGCTAATTTTTTTTATATGAATTTTTTGAATCAACTAAGCAACTAATCAGTTGCCTGAATACCCCTATTAAGTTTTTTACGAACAAACACAATATGTTACTAGAGTTTTTTTCGATATTTTCACACGTATTTTAATTGAGCAACCCTGTTTTACATAAAGTATGAAATACACGAATTGGAGAAATGGAATAATAAAAATAGTAGCTGCTGTCAAACAGTGTCAGGAAAACAAAAACGGCGAGCACAATAGCCATAAATAAAGAATTGACATTCGCTAGTCGGTTCGGAATATTTTCATTTTATAAAAACTAGTAAATAGTAAATATAAAAAAATTTAGTAGTGTCATTAACTAGCTTTAACTCATTAAAGGTAAATAAACAAAACGATAATCATTAATATGTTAGGGCGTTGTTTCTTTTTAATGGAAAAATTCAATATTTTGTTTATGAGAAAAAAAAAATGCAAAACAACAAGCAAACGTTGAACGGAGCAAAGTTCATTTCAGTGAAAAGAGCAAAATTCCAATGTACTCTATTTTTTGCCAAAGAGATTAATAACTAATGCTATTTCATTACTGTAGTAACAACAGTAACTACAATGATGAATTCGTACAAATCTATATAAATAGAATGTAAAAAAATCAAATTTACATGCAATCAAAGAATATATAAATCATGAATGAACGAACAACAACAAAATTTATTGTCTTGGAAGTTTTGATTGTTAAACACAAAACACACATTTGCATAGTTAAGTTGAGAACTCGGGTACCATATGTGTATGTATGTTCCATTTTTATTATTTTACCTTTAACCCTTGGCATTCCACTTCAAGCTATTCTGAGCGTAGATATCAGAAAGAATATTTAAAAATCATTCAATTCAATTCACACAAGAAACACATACACTAAACTCTCAACACACATACATAAATATATGTAGTAAGCTTTCGTTCTGATTAGATTAGCGTTTAAAATTATATCATTTTAAGTACTTTCAGTTTATTTCGTCGTCTAACTTGAGCTATAATTCAGTTTGCAAAAATCTGCTTTAACTATCGGTTGCTCAAGGCAAGTGTATATCAGGAATGGCCGAATCAAATTTACGTTACGATGGACGTGTCGCCGTAGTCACTGGTGCCGGTGCTGGTCTTGGTCGTGAATATGCTTTACTCTTTGGTTCACGAGGCGCCAAAGTTGTGGTAAACGATCTTGGAGGTACTTTTCATGGTGAAGGCGCTTCCCAACGCGCTGCTGACGTCGTTGTAAATGAGATTAAAGCACTTGGAGGTACTGCAGTAGCTGATTATAATTCGGTTGTTGATGGTGCAAAGGTCATTGAGACCGCAATAAAGAACTTTGGTCGCGTAGATATTTTAGTTAACAACGCTGGTATCTTACGCGATCGCAGCATTATAAAAACTTCAGACCAAGACTGGGATTTTGTGCACGATGTACACTTGAAAGGTAGTTTTAAATGCACTCAGGCGGCCTTTCCATATATGAAGAAACAGAATTATGGCAGAATTATTATGACCTCATCAAATTCTGGCATTTATGGCAATTTCGGTCAGGCAAATTATTCAGCCGCAAAAATGGGTTTAGTTGGTTTAGCCAATACAGTGGCCATAGAAGGTGCTAAGAATAACATTTTCTGCAATGTTATTATTCCAACAGCAGCAAGTCGTATGACTGAAGGCATTCTGCCGGACATATTGTTCAACGAATTAAAACCACAGTTGATTGCACCCGTCGTTGCATATTTGTGCCATGAAAATTGCGAAGAAAATGGTAAAGTATTAAAACATTCATGGAAAGCTAATTCTAAGTGTGTTTTTATTTCTTAGGTTCATATATTGAGAGCGCTGCTGGTTTTGCAACTAAAGTACAAACAGTACGTGGAAAAGGTGCTGTGCTTCGTACATCAATTGATCAAAAAGTGATTACTCCAGAATACGTACAAAGCAAATGGACAAAGGTCGTTGATATGTCCGAAGCACAACATCTGGAATCCATAGCAGCAGCATCCGGTACATTAGTTGAATTGTTAGAGAAACTGAAGGAAGGTAAAATTTCAGACGCTGAAGACACATTTAAATTCGGTGCTAAGGATTTGATACTTTATGCTTTGGGCATTGGCGCCACAGTGAAGGATAGCAACGACTTAAAATTCCTATATGAAAATGATACTGACTTCTCAGCCATTCCCTCATTTTTTGTTTTGCCCGGTTTAATGTTGAGCATGACATCAAATTTGATCTCTACTGCATTGCCATCAGGAAGTGCTGATCTTACCAATATTTTACATGGAGAACAATATTTAGAAATCTGTGATGATATACCTACCAATGGCACACTAACAACCACGGGCAAAGTATTTGATGTTATGGATAAGGGTTCTGGTGCAGTTGTAGTAACAAATGCTGAATCTTATGACGAAAGTGGTCGTTTGATAGTGAAGAATCAAAGTTCAATTTTTGTTGTTGGTGCTGGCAAATTTGGTGGTAAAAAAAATCCAATTAATGGTGTGGTACCAATTGCCAACACTCCAAGTCGTGCACCAGATGCCTCAATTCAATACAAAACAACTGAAGACCAAGCTGCTTTATATCGTCTGTCAGGAGATTTAAACCCGTTACACATTGATCCAAGTTTTGCCGCAATTGCTGGTTTTAAGACACCCATTTTACATGGACTCTGCTCACTGGGCTTTTCCGTACGCGCTGTTTTAGCGAAATTCGCTGATAATAACTCAGCGCTCTTTAAAGCTGTTAAAGTACGTTTTGCTGCACCCGTTCTACCTGGTCAAACATTAAAGGTTGATATGTGGAAAGAAGGCAAAAGAGTACATTTCCGCACTTCAATAGTTGAAACAGGAAAGGAAGTCATAACCGGAGCTTACGTTGACTTAAAGGATACCAGTGCAAAATTATAAATAAAACTTTAAAAATTGCTTTTTAAAGTATATAACATGATATATTGTTAAATAATATTGGGGTAATATGGGTGATATCTTAAAGAAAACTTTTGTATGTTTCAATAATTATTATTGATTATGATTTTTAAAGTATTCAGAATAAAATAATAAACCAAATTGTCTTTCTTTGATTTATAAAAATGTACGAAAAAAGAAGAATTTAATCAATTAGAATTTTATATTTAATTTATTGTTATTCTTACGATATACATATAAAAAATGTATGCTTAACTTGTAACTACAATTGAAGTAGTTTAAAAACTACATAAATTAAGAAACGCCCAACTAAATTGAGTTCATATCAATAAGGTATTAAGCTTATTCGCTTCGTTTCTCTTCGCATGGTATCAGTTCTCAACTCAAATTAAATTAAATTTAAAATGCCAACTAACAGCACCAAAAAAGAGAACAAAATAATAAGAGAAACCAGACCTGTGAACCACATAAATTTCGATACTTTGAACTGCTTAAAAACCTGTTTATCTTGCTTCCTAGTAGCACCCCCAGGGTAAAATTTGTAAAGCCACAATCGTTTAATGCGTGACTCTGTTTAAGTGCACTAAAAACTAGCAGGTTTCGATTAATAACGGGCTTAGTTCAGAACAGGTTTAAAACCCAGGTATAAACATGTCCATAGTCACTTTTTTAATTGCAAACAGAATTTCAATTGACTATTTTAAATTATTTTCTGTCACGCCACTGCTGGAATTAAATACTTTTAATTATACTAACAAGATAAGCTTTTATCAACAAGTACATTTGTTTTTGTTAAAACGAATACTAATGATAGCATCGCAAAAAACTATTGGACTTTGCAAACAGTATCTTTAAAAATTTTTATATTTATTCTAGATTGCACTTTTAAGAGAACGAGTACACACGTTAGTAGTTTTAAAATGTCAGGCGGTGAATTGCGTTTTGACGGTCGTGTCGCAGTTATTACCGGTGCAGGAGCAGGACTGGGTCGGGAATATGCTTTATTACTTGCATCGCGCGGTGCTAAAGTTGTCGTCAATGACTTAGGTGGGGGTGTAAAAGGAGAAGGCTCTTCACAGCGATCAGCAGACATCGTAGTCGCTGAAATTAAAGCATTAGGTGGCGTGAGCGTACCAGATTACAACTCTGTAATTGACGGCTCAAAAATCATTGAAACTGCAATTAATAATTTTGGTCGTGTGGACATTTTAATAAATAATGCAGGTATATTACGCGATCGCAGCATTGTCAAAATGACTGAAGAAGATTGGAAACTAGTACAAGATGTTCACTTAAAAGGAAGTTTTAAATGTACTCAAGCTGCTTTTCCATATATGAGGAAACAGAACTACGGACGCATAATTATGACATCCTCAACGTCTGGTATTTTTGGTAATTTTGGCCAAACAAATTACGCAGCTGCCAAAATGGGCCTTGTAGGCTTAGCCAACACAGTAGCTATAGAGGGACAAAAATATAATATTTTATGCAACGTTATAATACCAACAGCAGCGAGCCGGATGACTGAAGGTATTTTGTCTGATTTGCTTTTTAAGGAATTAAAACCACAATTGATTGCACCGGTAGTCGTTTTTATGTGTCACGAAACTTATACTGAAAATGGTAAGTCAAACAAAATGATTATTCCACGCATTATAACAAGAAAAAATTTTAGGATCCTACATACAAAGTGCAGCCGGTTGGGCTACTAAATGGCATATGGTGACTGGAAAAGGTACAATTTTACGATCTTCAATAGAACAACAAAATATAACTCCAGAACATGTAAAAATGGAATGGGCTAAAGTGATTGATATGTCTGAAGCAAAACATTTAAATCATACGCAATCTACTGGTAAATTGGTTAATGTCTTGGAAAAATTACAAAATAATAATATTGATGTTCAGGAGGATACTTTCAAGTTTGGTGCTAAGGATTTAATATTATATGCTTTGGGCATAGGCGCTAGTGTGAAGAATAGCAACGATTTAAAGTTTCTGTATGAAAATCATTCCGAATTTGCACCTATTCCAACATTTTTTATTTCGCCATGTCTTATTGCTGTTACGAAATTAAATATAGCGGAAAAATTATCGATGATAAGTAAAACTCACTATAAAATGCGTTTACACGGAGAGCAATATTTAGAAATTTGTGACAATTTACCCACATCTGGAACTTTAACCACTACATGTAAAATAATCGATGTCATGGATAAGTCTTCTGGCGCTGTTGTAGTACTTGATTTCGAGACGTTTGATGAAAATTCGCGTTTATTGGTTAAAAACCAAATGTCATCGTTTATTCTTGGTGCTGGCAATTTTGGTGGTAAAAGACATGCAGGGACAGGTGTAACTATGACTGCTAATCCACCTAATCGGTTACCTGATTCTTCAATGCAATATAAAATTTCAGATGATCAAGCTGCTGTTTATCGTCTTTCAGGAGATCTAAACCCATTGCATATAGATCCAAAATTTGCTGCAGATAACGGATTCAAACAGCCTATCTTGCATGGGTTGAGCACTTTAGGTTTTTCTGTACGTGCAGTTTTAGCGAAATATGCTAACAACAATCCAACTTTCTTTAAAGCTGTAAAGGTTAGATTTTCTGCACCAGTCATTCCCGGTCAAACACTTAAAGTTGATATGTGGAAGGAAGGAAGAAGAATTCATTTCCATACTTCTGTTCTTGAAACTGGAGCCAACGTTATTACCGGTGCATACGTCGATTTAAAGAATATTGAAGCGAAAATGTAAATGAAGATACAGTTTTATATAGACATTATTCTTGTTAGAAACTATTGAGAGAAAGTGGTAAATCGCGAACATAATGACTCTATCATTTATATATATAATATAATATATAATATTTTTTATATTAGCATATAAAATTCATGTCACTCTAATATATGTTTCAAAGAATAAATTAATACTTTTTAGTAATTCGATTATTTTAATATATTGAACCTGCTTTTATTAAGATGTCCTGATCACCATAAAATAGAACTAAAACTTTCAATTAAAACAATATATTCTGAAGACCCAATTATTATACATTAAATATATATTAAAGCGGTTTTAATTTTGGTATGGTACATATCAATAGTGCTGAGGTACCATATCCTGAAATAACAATGCTGATCGAGCAAAACTAAAGATAATTACTCAATTTAAATAAATACAACATGAAGAGCATATAAGATCCAACTAAATTATTTAGTTTTCAAAAAACTTATAATTAATTAAAATTTAACCCAATGTTAAAATATCAAGGACTAGACAATATTGAATTAATAACATCTGATGCGCGTCTTGTAGTTATTGTGAACCATAATTTGTGTAATGAATATAAAAATTTCATATACTGATTGCCGATAGAAACATGCAACTTTAAAACCCGTCATCAGGATAACAAAGAAATATTGACATACAGCGTTATATCGCGAGACGTATTAAACTATAAACATGACGTTTATTGGACTGAGTATTGCTATTGCTTAAAATTCTATACGTAATTATGCTTTATAATTCATCTTATCAAATCTATAATATAACATGTTTTAATAGTTCGTTATATTAAAGAAAAAAAATCTTAGAGCTACTTTTAATTATATTGTATTTCAATTTTCCGATATTTGTTAAAATTTCATTTGGATTCTTTCCGGAGCCTATCATTAGCAGAAGTCGATTTTTAGGACTACAATACTAAAACTGGTTTTATAAACAAAAAAAAATCATACAATTGTCTAAGTTATAGCGACAAGACAAAGGCTTATTATTTTTTGGCTTTATCTTCTTCTAAAATGTGATAATTTTATCGTTCAAATAAGAAATGTTACTAAAAAGAATACAGAAGTTCAACAAATTTAACTTAGAATAGCACTTTTGCTGCTCTTCTAGGTTTACTGACACTGGCCACAACTCATTGCTAACAAGTTTTTGTTGACCTGATAATGAAGCCTAAACAGCAATAAAAAACAAACTAACAATGAACGCAATAATGACATGAGTAACGGAAACTAATTGTGGTATGATCATGTCAGAGAGTTTGAACTCAAAAAAAATATTAGCTGAATTAATGTCAGCAAAACCGACTTTGAGATACTATTTTATGTACGATTTTGTATGAACAAAGTCCACTACGAATACTACGTTTCAAGCCTTTCAACATTTAACATTTTTGACTTTAGTGACATTGTTTCAAAGGAAGGTCAGTACATTTAGGATTATATTTTTAGAATTAAATACAAATATTTATTAAAATTTTACGAACTTTTTTTTCTAAGATAAAGAAATATTTATTATAAACAAATTTTTTTAATTAAATCAAAATTATATATGTTATAACGAAGATACCTAAGCCGACGAAGTTCAACTGTACTTCTCATGTCGTTATCTGTATCTGTAATCAAAGATTGGGTGGCAAGATTCCTTCTTCTGGTTAGTTTAAACATTCCCGCCTATCATTTTCCTCACTATTATCTTAAATTCCTTCCCTTTCCCAATACCGTATTATTGTGCAAGTTCAATCAATTTTTTATAAATTTTTTATTCACATCAACGTAAGCTACAAAATTTCTTTCATTTCATTTCTTCACTTTTTTAAGACGTATTTCTTAAAAAAGACAAAATTTGCACAGGGTCAAATTCGACGTGCAGTTGAGATTACCGATTGATGTGATTGCTAACAGATGACCTGAATATAAATACCTCAGAGTTTATTTCTAACTTCCTATACGAGCTGTATTGCTCGTGTAATATACGAGCCATGACAGTGTAAATAACTGTCAAAACAGATATAAAAAATAGGACGATTGGACAATTTGATTCGATTAAAAGTTTAAATCAAGAATCATGCCACCAAAAACTAGCGAAACACCATAGATAACGAAATTACCATAATCTTGCTCACAAAAGGTAGTATTGGTTTTTCCATAGCCAACTCCAGAATAAAGCAAAATGAAAGGAAAGCAAACAGATATATTCTATTTCATCAAGAAAAGCCACTGAACAACAGCAATTGTATACTAAACAATAGCTGAAGCTGCTGAAATCCGCTTTCTCTCTTTAGAACTTTAACTCAAAAAATACATTATCAGAAAAAGACAGAATATAATAATTTTGTTCTATTTTTTTGAAATTTTTTCAAA